TAATATGACTTTAAAGCGTTTTAAAATAGCGAATGAACAACCAGTCGTCGCAAAACGCGAATAGCGTAACGAGTGGGCCACCCAACGCTCCAACACATTACAAAAACTTGTTCTTGTTCTCCTATAAACAGTGGCACATACCCACTACAGCCATAACTCCTTATTATTGTCAGCCACTGCATGAACAATTGGCACGAAATTTCGTGCAAGTGCTTAGCAGATACCACGCTTCTCAGAAGAATGACGAAAAACAGCATAGCAAATGCCGGTCTATACTACACAAAAGTTTATTATTATAGCCCTACTGGGTGTCAAGGAAGCGTGCTTGAAGTAGTTACGCAATGAGTGTTAAGAAAAGGCTCTGAAAGGCCCCTCTTCTAGCTTTCGATGCGACTGCGCTGCACCTTCCGCACAGGCCTGGCATTTTGAGGTTGAAGGCCGAATTGCGCGAAGACGATATGGCGCGGGCCACATGGTAAATTGTGTCAACGGGAAAAGAGGGCTTTACACTGAAAGGAAAAAAAATCGGCGAATCGACAAGGAAGTACAGAACCAGTGTAGAAACCGTGTTTATTTAAGCTGAAATAGAAATCAAGGACTGTAAGAAAACTTGAATTTCGGCGGGATGATGTATAGTTGACGGCAATATTCAGCGCAAACAACACACATTCCCAACTAGGAAACTGGACTGGTGTCCTGTTCCCTGTTTCTCATAAATATAAGCATTTTCGCTCAATATTCCCGTCAGAAATCATGGAGCTCCTTCGCAGTCGACACAGGAAGTTGAAGTGTGCAGTAACACGGTAAGAAGAGAGCTAGTGTTCTGACGTCATTCCCGTTAAACACAATAGTACTCCGCGAACTCCTTGCGGTGGGCTGGCTGGAGGCTGACATTCCTTGCACTGAAAAATTGTTTAATTACTGATCGCATTTGGTATGAATAACTTTGGTGCGTTTTAATAAGCCCCCTCCCCTAAATATTATATGAAACTAGCGCCAAACAGCTAGGAATGCCCCAAAATTTCGTGTGCTAAATTTTAACGACGTTGAAACAGAACACTTAACACCAAAGGTGTTTAGGCTAGCCCTAATTAGTGCGGACTGTGGCTACGCGCCGTGCTCTCTACACAAAAAATATCGTCATCATAAACAAAGATGTGACGCAGAAACCGGCAAATCACACCACTCACCATTCGCTGATAATAATGATAAAGAAATCTATAGTCCTAAAACGTGCATGTGCCACTGTGTGGCCCACCAAAATAATATTATATAAACAGGTACGTGCTACAAAAATCAGTCAATGCTACTACCAGAATAACCACTTGAGCGTAGCCCCCGCCGAACCCAGCTAAAATGAAATTGAATTTAGCCACACCGTTTTAAACAAGATTTATTTAAGTTGAACCTAGCTACTATAAGTTCAACCTCAATATAATCAAGCTCAGCGTATACAAACACCAAGCTTGAACTTATTATCACCAAATTCTACCGGGTTCAACCTCGTGTAAGGAGGGCTAACTTGATGCAGGTATTTAACTCGATGCAGGCCAGCGATCACCGTTCATCGTCTTCCTGTGTCTCTTCACGAGCTCCACGTCCGCTGCCCGCTTTTTAATAGATACAGTCAAGTTCTGCCTAGCTACAAGTAGAATAAGCTGACCGTACATTTATGAAAGGTGCGAACGCTTGGTTTCACCGCAATATTCTGTGTTCGCATTAGTTTCCGGATACATGTCATGTTTGCGTCTGTCAGTACTTTAACTCGCACCACTTTGCGTTGAGAATAAACGTAATAACAACCTAGTATGATAAAGCAACGAAGCGACGCAGGAAGAACCCGCATGCCCTAGCTAAGGCCTAGAAAACAATTTAGAAGAACCAGATTTGTTTTCAAATTTTGCCAAGTTTCGCTGCGTGCCAGCTTCACCAGTTCATGAATGGGACATCCGCGCGCGCCCATAAATTGTAGCACCGTAAGTGCTCTGGCAAAAGTTAGGCTGCGACGCTTCAGACACTGTCACAGTCTCCTAGAAAAAATTATGTTTACTATGAAATGACATGTACATTTGCCTGCTAAGGACTAACAATACTAACAAGAATTCGCACCCTGAGAAAAAAACATTTAGGCAGCTTTGCAGTTGTGATACCAACAAGCCTAAAGGGGATCGATGCAATCAACTTTACGAAAAAACACACACACACTTCAGACATTCTGTGCACATGGTTAAACAGTGAAGATGAGACATGTGGCTACAGATGGTTCAAAAAGTCTCAGTCGAACCTAAAGTGCCGCTCGAGAAACTCCCGTCGAAATCGGGTGCTGGATCGGGTAAATGCGCTTCCTTCTATGCCACGTTGAAGCTGCTTTGCCTGCAATATCGTCTTCTGGGTTCTCGCTTGTCGCTTGCATTCGGCTCCGAGTGCTACCAGAACCTCGATGCGCAGCTGCACCTTGCACTTTGCCACCCTGGCCTGTTCTAATTGTGTACAGACTGTTGCATCGGCACAGCAAACATGAATTCTCTCACGATTAGGTGCTGGAAATGTTCTTGGAAATTCGTTGGCTATTCGGTGGTTTGTATGGCTCATGCCCTCCCCATGTGGAAGTAGTAAGTATAAACTCCTGCGGGCGGGCTCAGTGGTACGGCAGCAAATGTTTGAACGATGGCGCTGCCAATAGTGCATGCGCTTGAGCGCAACGTAGAGAACGACGTACCTGATGGTGTAGTCAACGGAGACCGTAATCATTTCCCTTGGCGAAGGTATTTTCGTTTCGCATAACCATATGCAGCTTTCGCTCTACAGACAAGTAGTATGGTTTTAGCCTTCTATTTGTATCAGAATTATACATATGAGACGATGTGACTTTGTAAATGTCTTCTAAAACTTTGCTTCTTCAGATGGTCACTTTTTCGCTGATTAGTGTGCGAGATTTCGAGGTGATTTTTGTCTTCTTTTTCTATCTTCGATTTCTTTTTTGACTTTTCCTTCTCCCATTTTCCTATTACCTCCACAACGCTGTGCCGTGTTCGCTTAGCAGTGGTGGAAATAAGCGTCTTTCGCCACTCCATATCTCTACTAATAGGCAGCTTATGAAATCATCGAACAGTCTCGCTCAGACAGACACTGGTTTCTGTCTTCAATAAGTCTTATTGTGCTTTCGTGTCAAGAAATAGCTAAAGCGAAATTGACAGTTCTATCAGCATCCCGATTTTTCAATTTAATCGACCACCATTCGCATAGCTCATCGAAGAATACCGAACTCGTAGCACGCGCTAGAAGAAGAGAAAAAATGAGGCACGTTGCTTTGCCAGGGAGATCTTGAGGAGGTGGGGCGTTCGCTAAAACCAATTGCAGTGTTGAGACGTGCTTCTCGAACTTTTTCAGGCGCATTGTCCCTAAACCGGGTTCATCTAGAAGGAAATCTATCGAATTTTACACTATCCGCTTTAAGACAAAATTTTGTCTTAGACAATGGTGGTCATTGTAAAATAAATATTATGTTTGGACTTAAAAAACTGCCTGCCTCGATTACGAAAACGTGATTTGTCTTTGTTTCATTTCAGTAACACTAGGAAACAGAGCATCTGCACTCGATAAGCGATTCTTTAAATGCCAATTAGATGTGTTAACTCCCTTTGGCTTACCCGAGGAAAATATTCAGTCGTAGCCCCAGGAAGTATAGAGTGACAGTTGCCTATAAAACACATATGAGAGGCTGGCAGTTACATACAGCCTATTTTAAAATGAGCCGCAGTGTTTAAACAGCTATTTATATTGTGCTCATCTTGCTCTGTATGTTAAGCTTTACTCTCAAAACTGGAGGCGGAAATGCTGTTGGCCCGTGTGCTCAGATTTGGGCGCATGTTAAAGAACCCCAGGTGGTAAAAATTTCCGAAGCCCTCCACTACGAGGTCTCTCTTAATAATATGGTGGTTTGAGGACGGTAAACCCCACATATCAATCAATCAATACTGTCAGAAAAACGGTTAGCAAAAATTCTGGCTCTATATATTCTCTCTTTATTCATTTTCTGTAGGTTTCCGGTTCACTGTAGCGTAGCCTATGCTAGCCAAAGCAGAAGGTTAAAAGAAGTGGAATCTACGAAAATAGCCAAAATTGTATTCAAGGAAGGTGGCATGAAATGTGTAAATCAGTTAGAGAAAGGGGGTCTTGAGCCACTTCTGGTGATACACAAATGGTTGGAGTGGCTCTGCACGACGGGGTTAAGTGGCATCTAGCAATTGCAAAGAAATACCCGAACTTTTCACAGTTGTGTTCAATAGAGCTTGCCAGAGTGAATGCAATCATGCGTTTTGAAAAAGAACCAGTGACTAAAGGTTAACAGCTTCCTTAGTAAATTCCATTTACTGAGAAATATTTCTAGGCCTCTTAGTCATTTGAGCATAAAATTTAATAAACAAGAAATGCGAACTATGCCCCAGTGTTTGTGTGAAGTTCCTATGCAAACATCATGAAAACTGTGGTCCGTTTTCAAAAAAGTATCATCACCAATAATTTTTTTTTGAAATTTCGATATTTTATCAGAGTTCAGCACAGAGACATGATATGCAGTGACATTGATTTGAAGTTGTACTCGGTACTAAAAAATAATGATAAATAAAGTTTGGTCAAGAAAGCCTAAAATGGTTCTATAAAATCCACTTTTATCAAACGCTTCCCTACAACAGAAGTCATTGGTCACATAGCAGAATCCTTTCCACGTGGCTTCCACACCATACAATAGAAACACTACTAAATCATTTCTCAGCTCATGCGAAATCGACGTATTGACACGCACCGTTATATAACAGATGTGATAATTTCGCGTACAGCAGGTTATTCTGCAAGACCACTTTACATGTTAGAACAATGTGAATGAAGACAATTAAAAATAAGATTGATGAACAACATTTGCCATATGGTCTCATTAGGGGCTCTCTGCATGCGTAATCGTGCATATGTGGCTCTGAAAGTTGGCAGTGCACTGAAAGCTGAGGACCTCAATATAAGAGTGATGTTAAAAAGGGAGAACTGAGAACCATCTATCTGTTTGTGTAACTAAGGTACCAGGAAATCCAAGTGAATGTTTCAGAAAGAAAGCTTCTTAGTTTCCACAACATTTGTTCTGGTCCGGGGACCTAACCTAGAGTAAAGCGCCATTCCGAGAACAACGCATCGCCTTTTTTTAACCATTTTGCCACATTGCGGAATTCCGCAGAAGCGATTTGCGATAACTGAGTGATGCTTCTAATCTGGGTGCTCATCGCCAGCGCGATATGCGCTACAGGTGGGTGGTCACATGAAACTTTTTTTACCTTAAATTTGACTTTGCTGCTAAGTTTTACTAATAACGCTGCGGGTATTAGTGTCGAAACCTCGACATGATAATGAGAGACGCCGTATTGAAGGGCTCCGGAAATTTCGACCATCTGGTGTTCCTTAACGTGCGCTCACATGGCACAGAACACGGGCCTCTGTCATTTCGCCTCTATCGAAGTGCAACCACCGCTGCTGGAATCGAACCCGCGACCTTAGGGTCAGCAGGCGAACACGGTATACCACTCCTCCAGCGCGGTACACTGCTGCTAACTTTTGTTTTCGATATAAGGTGCTTCTCAAAAACGTTTTTCCTTTCTACTTCTATAGAGTGTTTGCTGGTCTTTGAGACGTATAAGGCATTCTTAACAACACTCAGCTCCACTCGTTTTATTGCGAACGCGCTGCAAGTGCAGGCTGTCGCCGCATGCCTGTTTCTTATGAGGCAACATGCTGAATACCAGCAATCATGTAAGTATACTTTGGCCTACTGAACTGCTACGCATACGGAGATAATGGTACCTCAAGATAGCACGATTTTACGGCCATCATATCCTAGCTCTGCTCAGACTTCCTCAAGTTGGCTATATACGTAGCGGTAATTATGAGACTCTTCATTCTGCCATAATGACTGCATTAACTTCAACACATACAAACTCCCACTCAATTACAAAGACAAAAAAACTTTTTCGAATGTCATTGCTGGGTTCAAGGCATACGTTGTCGGGAGACTGGCCCCACGATGACCAGTCTTTGTCGGATGGCTACCAGACCTTCAGTTATGGAGGCTGTGTCGGCCACTCGAATTTCCTTCAGTAGCAGATATCACTGATATCGAACGTCGCTTTCAAAGCGCTTATCCCAACATTAAAGCCACCACCAAAGCACATTCGCTTTTTAAATGCGAAGCTTTACGTAGCGAAATTTGGTGACTGAGCGTATCTATCTATCTATCTATCTATCTATCTATCTATCTATCTATCTATCTATCTATCTATCTATCTATCTATCTAGCCGCTTACGACTTTTAGCTCACCTGGCCATTTCAATATTAGTATGGATACCAAACTTAGTATGGCATAACATGACTGTATGGAGAACATAATTGACTAGTCATAACCAGAAAATCATGACATGTATGTCATGAATGTGACGATTTACATTTCACGGTCTTGCAGCTCTTGTGGTGAATTCGTTCACATGGCATGTTGCAAAACTGGTATGGTATGGCTGATTGCATGACGAAGACAAGCGACAGACCCTAACATGAAAATGATGACATGGGTGTCATGTAACAGCACGACTACATGCCACGCTCATGATGCACTCACAGCTGTTTCGCTAGCGTCACATGTACCAAATTTGCCATTAGAGTACATGAATGGATGACGAAGATATGATACTGATGCAAACATGATAAACATTAGATGCGTGTCTTATAACAACATGCCTACATGCTACGCTCATGATGCGCTCGTGGCCGGTTCGCTAGCTTCACATGTACCAAACTTGGTATTACGTGACGCGAACGGATGACATAGGTCAATGACACATCCAAACATGATAATCACGACATTTGTGTCATGTCGTGATTATCAACATGACTACATGCCACACTGCCATGTGCTCGCGGCTGTTTCGCTAGCTTCACATTTGCCGAATTCGGTATTACGTGACGCCAATGGATGACGAAGGTATGTGACTGGTGCAAACATGATAATCATGCGATGCGTGTCATGTGAGAACACGACTACATGCCACAGTCAAGGCGCCAATACATTTCCATGTCATGTGGTGCGCAGGCTCACCAGTGTTCATTTCGTCGTGTCACGCTGGTGTTGCCACGCCACGCGCCGGTCCTGCCATATACTTGAAGGCACGCGCTGCGCTGCGTTGCTTTGACGCATACGCGTTTCAGCGCGTCCGGCTTCCTTCCGTTACGAAAAGAGGAAGACGCAGTGATGTCTGGGTAACGCATCGGTGCGAAATGCAGCATGTCGCATTTCGCACCGGTTGCCGTCGGGCCGTGCTGACGGACGCTGGTGGCGATTGGCGTCAGACTGTAGAGTGCTCGCGTTTTGCTAACGTAGCGTCGCTGTGCTCAGCGTGCGCGCATGTCAACACTACCTTGGAGTATATTAGGCCCTTCATGATGCGCTCACGGCCGTTTTGCTAGCTCCACTTATATCGAATTTGGTGTTACGTGACATCAATGAATAACGAAATATATGACTGGTGCAAACAGGACAATCCAGACACGCGTGTCATGTAAGAACATGACAACATACCACGCTCATAGCATGCTCGCTGCCGTTTCGCTAGCTCTACATATACTAACTTTGGTATCACGTGACGTGAATAGATGACGGAGGTAGGCGACACATCCAAACACGATAATCATGACGTGGAAGTCATGTACGTTATCATTTAGCTCCACCTCGTAACTTGTTGCTGATTTTAAAGTGACCTATGAACATTCCTCATTCGTGCTTCGCATATCTTAGATTCCCGCTGTACGTGGAATCTGCCTTTTTTTTCGTCCATCGAAATGACTCCGCGCTACTGTGTACTGTCACGCTCATTATGAGCTACACCCCGCGAGAGCTTAGCCGCGCCTACTCCAATAGGTTGACCGGTGGCGCCCATCGTGGCATATTTCAAGCTATCAGGAGTGAGTTTAGCTCTTTCCGCCACTGCACATCGCCCACACTTGCTCGCTTTCACTCTCGAAGTTGTCAGTTCTCTAGCTGATGTCATCAAAGCACGACACCTAGGTGAGCGAGAAGGTAAGTGAAGGCGATGCGCGCTTGCACGACCAGCCATACTCTCTTCTAATAACATGGAAGCATGTTACGATTTATACACAACTGTACCCCCTCATTGTGCTTGGCCGCGCGCTCCCATGGTGTGTCTCAGCTGAGAACGATAGCACAGGCAGTTACACACGTTTAGGGAATGAGGTATGTCCTAATTCATAGTCAAGATTGATGAAAAATACACGCCTAACTTTGACTTTAAATATAAGTCGCGAAAATTATCTAAATTGAAAATTTCTTTTAGGTGCGAAAAATTCTGATTTGACAATAATTGATTGAATAATTAGTGAGGTTTAACGCCCCAAAACCACGCTATCATTATGAGAGACGCCGTAGTGGAGGGCTCCGGAAATTTCCACCACCTCGGTTTCTGTAACGTGCACCCAAATCTGAGCACACGGGCCTACAACATTTCCGCCTCCATCGGAAATGCAGCCGCCGCAGCCAGGATTTGATCCCGCAACCTGCGAGTCAGCAGCCGAGTACCTTAGCCACTAGACCACCGCGGCGGGGCCGATTTGACAATAAGTATCGCGAAATTTATGGTGTATATTTATGCGTTATTGGTCTAAGATTTATTGTACTAATTCAAATTCTAAAGCATATTTAGGATCATTTAAAATAATCAATTTACTGAAAAAGCAGGAAGTAGAACTTCTGTGCTTGTATTCCCAGCAAGTATTCGTTCTTGTTGACAATAAGGCGTGCGACTATGGAAGATTGGAAATTATGCAGCAAATTGAAATTGTCCCATTAGCACACACTACCACTTTGCAAACAAAATGCTCAACAAATATCAATCGAGAGCTTCTTTATTGTGATAATACCACCAACAAACATTACTTGTAACTAAGTTGCTGACAATTACTGTATTTTTTTTCTGATTTTGCCAACAAACATTACTTGTAATTAGGTTGCTGACAACTACTATAACTTTTTCTAATTTTGTTCATCAGTGAAACCTCTATCACATACGTCTGAGGGTTAGGTATGACGGCAAATGGAGTATCAATCAAAATTAGTCAAATTAACTATCTATAGGTCGAAATGAGACAACGTTGCCAAAATTTGTAGTGATTTACCAAGGGCTGCTAACAAAATTGTAATATCTGTACGCTCTCGTTTCCTATTTGTTAACGAGAGGCTTGCAAAAAAAATGTTATTCTATATATACGTAACCACATCAAATACTTTACTGGTTCAAAATTAGGTGGTCATACATTTTCAGTTTGTGAACAAATCATAAAACATCAGCACATTCCCACAAGTTAGTATTGCTGACAAAGCCGTATAAATTGGAAGCCTAAATTTAAAAAGCTCTGTATTGTCTAGGTGAATTTTTTGTTGTAACGAACTTTTTCAAGCTCTCAAATTATTTTTATGGCACACCTCACATCATGAACTTGAAGATTAATCAGGCCATTCACAATATGAGATTGTTTTTCCTTGTGTTTTTATACTCTACTGTCAATCTGCTGCACAGGCGAGTGATCATGCTTGCTTTCAACTACTTTGCCAGAAAAAAAACTAGTGCATTAGGCCTTTTCTTGTGACTTTTTAATGGTGATAACTGTATTGTCTTGTCATATTTATTTAAAATTGTGCATCTATTTCTAGCGGAAATTGAAAATGACTCACTGACTGCAAAACGGCAAAATGGGCCCATCATTTCATACGCACAGAAGAACACCACAAAGCTGGGTAAAGGGTTTCCTGCCTTTTTAACCCAAAAAAAAAATCGTATTTATGTTTCAGCCAGCACTCTCTGTTTTGCCTGCACACACAACCATGTGGAAGGGTGTAAGTGATAGAAATATTGAAATGATTAGAATGTCGTCCGTATGTTTCCAGCCTAGTCTATAGAAGAACGGAACGAAGTTTTTGAAAAAAGAGTTATTAGCCGACCATATAACTTGACTTAGGTGCCTGCTATGTATACTGGCACTCACGAATCCGCGTTAGCGGGCCTTGACGCATTATTAAGGTCAAGTTTGCAGTTGGTGCCATGGAAGCAGACCTCAGAGACCACGTATAGAGAAGCTTGTAGTTCAGATCTGCTCCGCCAGGTACCAGAACCGTATAGCTTCTTTTACATACACTTCAGGGAACTCTGGCACCAGTGTTTATGAAAACTTCAACGCAAGGCGCATCAGCCAGCACGGGAAAGATGAGTAGTTCATGAATTTATTTATTTTCGTTTGTCTGCTTTCCTTGCCTTCGTGTGGCGTAGAGCTGCTAAGTAACGAAACGACAACCAGCAAATGTTATGCAGTTGTACTTCTCAACCTTTGTCATTTAGACTCGCATACTGAAATCCGCTCGCAAAGTTCACAAGGTCCCTTCTTTTATGGTAAACAAAACGAAAACGCAACAATAAAACTACAAGTTTGGTCAAAGCCCGCAAGCGCGAAAACTGGACAAAATTGTGTACAACTCATCACTCCCATGTTTTCCGAGCGATCGCCACGCCCGAGTCCCCTCTAGTTTATATTGGAAAGCTCTGTGGCTGAAACAATCTCACGTATTTGAGATATTTCTGTCAAGAAAATCAACCAGACTTCATTATAGTCGATTACAACCTAAGAATAAATATATGCACCACCTACAGCCATACCTTTGCCACCGTGAGAAAATTGGGATCAAATCCCACTTGATTATTTGTGTGACGCCAAGTACCGTTCACGCATTTTACATCGGTGGTTTTCTTGTGAAGACACAAGTAGGTGCCACTGGTTATTGGTAAATAAACGTTGCCTTTTTTCGCAATTTGCGCGAATATTTCGACATCCCTCTCTACCAAACACAGTTCTTCAAGTAAAGACGTTGAAGTTGTGTAAATATTATTGGGCATATTATTTGTATTAGCAGCCAAAAAGTATTCATGGTCGCAACAGAAGCCACATAGCAAGTCTCTTTCAGACAAATGAAGGGCTGGTGACTCGCAGTTTACAGGGCGGTGCTTGTGATTTGATTTTTATTCTTAGGTTGTCACCGACGATGGTTATACTGGTAGTAAAATTTGCCTTATCCCAAGCAAAATAATTTCCCGAAATCGTAATCATCCAGTATGAATTCCCGACGAAAACAAGACAGCTTGTCGGAACGTCGGCTCAAGCTACACACTATGTCCAAATATTTGCCATCTCTTCAAGCTTGGAGTTTAGTTCTTAACCTTGACCACAACTATTCATTTCTATTTTTAAGAGGACTTTTATGATTGCTCGGTAAACTAGAAGTACACCACAGGATACGCTTAGAAAAGAACCAAGAGCGTAAGCTGTTATGGCTAAAAGAAAGTGTTTCGAAAACATTCTACTGGGCAACAATCTCGCCCTTGTCCATGAATTTACCCTGGGATGAACACGTTTTGGATGGGCCAACAGAGCCAACTAGCAGGTTACCAGATTGTAGCACGAGAATGTACTCATCGAAATTCAAAGTTCACAAGTACATGTATATAGCAGTAGAGCTTCGCGAGATTCGGCAAAGCTGAATGAGCGGTAATGGAAGAGATGCGTATTTATGCACCCGTTTCAAGCCTACTCTGTAGCATATTCATACGAGACCTTGTGCGCGAAAACCTCTTCGAAAAGAAAATTTTCTGATTAAAGGTTCACTAGACATCACTTCTGCATGTAGGTTATTAAGTTACCTTAGCTATTGCTGAAATGTTGCAGGAACTAGGGCTCCCTGCTACGGGGCCGCACTTGTTATAGAATGCTTGCATGATTGGGGCTCTCGAATAATGGAACGCTCGAATACCTGGATGATGAGGGTTCTCGAACGAGGCACTAAAATAAAAAAGAGCGATGCAGCATTCTCGTGTTATGGTAATTAATGATCTCAAATTCATGCGACAGCTCTGTTGAACATACGCCGCTGGCACACGTGTTCAGATAGTAAAGTATACATACAGCCACAGACTCAACGCAAGTGGGAACACACACGCACATCAGAAGGCAGTAGCTGGGGTCGGGAACCAAACTCGCGCTCTTACCTACCTTGTCGAGTCATGCACTGAGTGGTTGTGACAAAGTTTACTATCTCTCACGAACTTCAGTCGTAGGAGAACGTTAGCGGAGAACGTTAGTTCACAGTGTGGTCGTGAGCGCTGTAGTTGCTAACTTTTTACAAAGTTTTCGTTAGAGTGCGCAAAAAAAAAAAAAACTCGCCAGTTCAACTATAGAGTCCAAGCACTGCTAGTAATCGCAGTACATGTGACAGCTGTAAAAAGGTTAATATATTTATCCCCTATCCACTGCAGCACACATTCATGTACTGATCAAATGAACGAGCATGCTGCCGAATTCTCCACAAACACATCTTACTCGAAGATCGCGAAAGGAACTTTTCATAACGACTGCATGTTTAACAGCGTCTACATAAGCGCAAAGATGCATTGTCTTTCTTCCTTTATGATAACACGAGGTGCATCATTAGGTGTGCGTAGATCCGTAAGCGTATACTTATGAGTGCCCCAGAGTTTGGACGCTTAAAGAAGGAGTAACACGTAAAAAGCGATGGGGAGCCCCACCACAACAGCATTTTCTCAGCTACACTTAGCCCAATCCAAGTTTAGTACGTCCACAACCGCGTTGCGAACTTTCTTTCCAGACACAATTTTTGCGAGTGATACCTAGTTTTTCATAAAATTCATGTACCGCATGCATTACAGAGCATTTATAACAGCATGTACTCGCGGTGCATTTTTTTTTCTGGATCTAAATAGTACTAAGAAGGGTCAATAGATATTTCGGCTCGAAGTAACGACAAGAGAATCTAGTTCCGGGACCATCGTTCACTCTTGTCTCACTTTTTAGCATAATACACTTTTTTGCCAATCTTGTTGGCGAGTGCGTTCTCATGAGTAGCATGGCCGCTTATTTGCTTTTTTTTTAAAGCATGGTATAACAAATGCACTACCTCAAACCAAATGAATTATTCAGTCAAACATTGAAAATTGCTGCACTATAACTTTTAAGGTGTCGTGATCGTGACTTTATTTTTTCAGCGAATACGGTGAAAAATTCACTCACTTGTGAAAAGCGCCCTGCCGCCGGTCCATGCCGATCATACCAGCCCACTTGGTATTTTGATACTAGAAAGCAAAAATGTAAAATGTTCATTTACGGTGGCTGTGGAGGTAATGAAAACAAGTTTACTTCGGAACACAAGTGCCAGCAGGTTTGCTTACGTAAGTATTTTAAGCTATAAGTTTTTAGATTTTGACATTTTTTTAGTGAGTTTCTAAAATAAATGCATTCATGTCCTCGTTATATCCTTCCTGTTGACCTATCTAAAAAATATAACAAGTATCGCTTGCTTAGAATCATCGCTGGGTATATCAGTGGTATCTAAAAATATTCTACAGAAATATGATAATTGTTTAGGTTTAATGTCGCAAAACCACGACATAAATATGAGAGACGCCTTGGTGAAAGGCTCCGGAAATTTCGAGCACGTGAGGTTCTTTAACGTGCACTTACATTCAAGCAAACGGGCCTCAATCATTCTCGCTTTCATCGAAAATGCGGCAGCTGCGGGTGGAATTCATACCGGTACCTTAGCCACTAGTCCACCGCGGCGGGTTACTATACAGAAAGAACTTGTACATTATCAGTTTTCCGATCTGCGTACGCAATTTAGGTTGTAGAGTGACTTACGTGAGTGTTAACTTAGAGTCAATTTTGCCCCCACTTCGTGACGTGATATGCAGAACTTCGTTCAGATGTGTACAGTGTTGTGTACTGCTGTGTAGAGCGGAACAATACGGACCATGAATCGATCCTTTCTCGTCACCACCATCAAGACAGCTCTTATGGTCACGCGTAAAAACTGAATATTCGGCTGCATAGCTGGGCTGGTGCTTCATGCAACCGCCATTCTTGTCTATCATCAAGTAGTGCATCAGACTGGACAGCTTGTGTTACATTTCGAAAACTGATAAAGCGCACGAAATTAAATCAAGGGACACCTTCCTTAAACTACCAGGCAAGGCTAGCCTATATAGAGATAGTGACTTATGCCTACATTTAACTACACTAGCATAGGGAGGAGGAGCTATGCCCAGAAAATGTTTGTCGCGATACTTTACTATATCTTTCCTTCTATTTGTTTATCTTTGTTTGATCTCCTATTTACCTCTCTGTTTTAATTTACTTATGCCTGTCTTTTCCTACACTTCTAAATTTATTTTTATTTTGCTGGCACTCTGTTTTGTTTATGAGCACCACGATCATGTGGCACTCATAAATACTTCATTTTTACGGTTCCGCACCTAGATCGCCGAGAAAGATACAACCCGTGCCTTCAGACTTTGATACTTGGCTTCGAATCCCGCCTCGCTAAGAAATTTTACTGTCATTATTCATATATCCTCCTCCTCTTCTCTCTTCTCCAGTCTCTTCCTCTTCGCGCGGAGTACACGTTTCGCATTTAGCCACTTCCTTTCTACTCTCGGGCTCATTGCCTCCACACTCCTCGTTTTACCAGACCATACTCTCTCCCACTCCAGGCTCCAACTTCCTTCTCCACCACTCGCTATCTATCCCCTTTGCTTTGTTCTCTTCTTGCACTGTTTGCATTTTCCATCACACGTGCTGTATAAAGGGTATTGGGCTTCACACAATTCTTGTGGCGCTTACGCACTCTCGTTTTCGCAGACGCCGCCAGACTCCCCAGACTTCACAGGCTGCGTTGTCAAAAGCTGCGTGTTATTCACAACGGTGCGGCATTTCTGTGCACATTGGATGATAAACTGCCTCTGTTAAAACAACAATTGCCGCCGCAAGTGTAAACGACCTTGCCAGTGAGACGTCTAGCGCTATTTTAGTGTCAAGTTGGAAGCCAATGTATTGAGTACTTGAAACGTTTGTCATCGTGTTGGCACGTGTGTGGACCGATTACCATTGCAACATCGGACGGCGTAGAGTAAGCGGACGGCGTGGTGATGATGATGACATATTTTCTGTTTGACGGCAGCCGTCACGCCTCGGCGCCACACATAGAACGGATGCGAAGGACAAGGAGGCATAGTTTATTTTCTGCAACAAAAAAAACAATAAGTTTGACAGCAAGAACTAGAATGTCGTGCAAAGAAAAAGGCTGGAGACGGAATAATATCCCAAATGCGGCTGCAGAAGCGAGCAAAGTAGCCTTAGTGTGGTCTATAGCGTGGTTTCGAGCCATGTGATGAGCTTTCCGACGAAACTAGTCCTTGTGTCCTATTTTGTTTGTGCGATTCTATTTTTTATCATGAAACAAGTGCCAAAAAATACAAACATTCAAAAAACACAGGACGAGTGATTGTACTTTTGGCGCTTGTTTTAACATGAACTTACACCAGCATGCCCAACTGGCAGTTATTCTATATTTTATCCTTTTGTTATAAAAGCACAACATGAACCAACGTAATACCCACCCATTGAAGCCCCTCGAGAGATAAGTGCCCGAGCGTGGAAGACCATGCCGCCTAGGTCAAAGTATGGACCAAAATATGTACATACCAACTATGGTTTTAATACTTTTTCACCGAATGAAAGACAGATATGATGATGCCCTTTTATGCAAGTGCGTCATTTGGCCCTTTGTGCAACCTCGCGTATGATAGTGAACAAGCCTCTGCCTAGATGAAGCACTTCGAAAATTTACGAACCACTAGCCGTAACTGGTGTATGTCAATAGCTCGCAGTCGGTATGCTGGAGGATGTACGCTTTAGCGGCCGAATAGTATAATGCATCACGCTGAAGCAAGAGGTCGGTGTTTTGAAAGTCCGGTCCCGTACTCGTCCGAAATTTTTTCAGTGACTCTGTTTCGTGTGTTTTACAGATACGTCGCTCAAGCCTGTAACTGACCTAAACTAGCGTGCAATATTGTTAGTGGTATAAGCTGCACTGCCATTCCTTCATTACACCCAAATAAGTATACATCAGTGGAGTACCCCCTTCGTATACGGAAGTAAACGTTCTGTAACAAGTTAAGAAGTATCTTAATAAATACAGCAAGTTAGTATAGTTCATCTTTAACCAATTACCACAAACTGACTGTTCATCTTATACGACAGAGGCCGATTACTACATTGTCCTTGTTACATATCAAAAGTAGATCAGAACGTACTTTCTTTGCTTGCTTAACCATGAACGAACTTGCGAATGGGCCCATCTTTGTATCTAAAACTCTTCGTGACCAGACCTACAAAGCGTGATCAGGCTAAGTATTTAGAGCTTTTTTTTTTTGTGAAACACGCTCATGAGTGTTTATTGTTTCCACGCACGGTCTGACATTCGAACGAAATAATTAGGGCACCCTCATATTCTTTATTTCTCCTCCATCCCGGTGAACTTCCTATCGGTGGCAGATATGGAAAGTGAGTCAGAGAGACAGAAAGAAGCCAGGCTTCATCGTCAGAACGAAACCGGAATAACGCAGTGAGCCGAGGAGACGAAGGAAGAACAAACCGCTCCCCTCAAGAAACGTGACCCTACACAGAACCAAGCTTAATAATAGCATTAAGCATACCTCTCGCTACGCACACCCTGGCATAACTGAGTTACGCCACTGCTACTTTTTAATACCCTAACAAAAATTTATTTTTATTGCCTTCTTTGCCAGTATATTTTCCTCTATGCTATACTGCTGATCGCTTTCGACAAACCAGACCCCCCCCCCCCTCTCCCGGAACATCGGTTACATCAAATAATAATGCACTAGCATCTGAGGCTACCACCTGTGTAACTCCCCCCCAGTCCACCTGCAAAGTAACGCAATACAGAAGCTGCGTCAAAAATAGGTATAGTGCGAATCTGTGAAAAAAATCATAAATACTGCCACGTTCCTTTCCTAAAGCTGTACGACGAACCGCTGAAGATCCGCCGCCGATGACGACGCCGCGACCTAATCGAAAGCACCCGACGCAAGACGTAAAGGGTCTTGACGTCGAACTTTCGCAGCCGACAGAAGACGTCATGACGCAACGTGGAAGCAGTGGACCGATTAGATGTAGCCGTAATCCAACGCCACGACCCAACCGCAACGCGTGATGACGAACCAGTGACCTCGACGTAATATCCGACGGCCACAACGTCACGGCTCTCGTCGACACTGGGGCCGACTATTCCGTCGTCAGTGGGCCTTTCGCGGCGAAGTTAAAGAAAGCGAAGACTGCTTGGCAAGGCCCTGAAATCAGGACCACTGGGGATCATGTAATAACGCCGGCTGGGGCTTGCATAACAAGAATCACCGTCAATAACCGGACTTATACCGCCAGCTTTCTGATTCTACAGCACTGCTCCAGGGATGTGATACTTGGGAGGGACTTCTTGAGTCAACACGGCGCCGTCATCGACCTAAGATCTGAGGCAGTAACGCTATCCACTGAAAAAGCTCTGCCGCCGCACACGCCGTCGGGGAGGTACGCTTTGAATGTGCTGGAAGACCAAGTCACCATTCCTCCTCGCTCCAGCGTCAGCATTTTCATCGGCACTCAAGAATCAACAGATATGCAAGGTTTCGTTGAAGGCGACGAACACCTGTTGATCAACCACGAAATTTGCTTCGTCAGAGGAATAGCTGAGCTGCGGGGAGGTAACGCAAGAGTGATGCTCATGAACTTCAGCAACGAGTATAAGCACGTGAGCAAATGTACGATGGTTGTATACATCGAAGAAACACTCGAAGCCAGCAACGTTTCCGCCATCATGGATTCTGCCGAATGCACTACGACGACTCGAGCGCCTCAACCGGCTTTCGACGTTAATCCGAAACTTACTACGCGCGAACAAGAGCAACTCAAAACCTTGCTCCTGAAATACAAGATATGTTTTAAATGCGAAGCGTTTCTTAGCACTTTCGGTGAGTTCGAGCGTATGAATGTTGCCACGTTCCTTTCCTCAAGTTTTGTTATCACCTCGTTACACTACGTTTAGCGCAAACCACGCCTATGATGTTCGAAGAACTTCGAGGCTATCGGAGATCTTTTTGTTAGGATTACGCCCACTTAGTGAACATTACAGATTGCTCTAGAACCTACGTTGCCGCCAGCGATAACGCTAGAACATTCCACGGCAAGTTACAAATGCCGATGTGCTGCGCCGCTTGTCAGTTGATCGACGGCCGACGCTCCGTTTGCTCGCCGCTATCAGTGTCAGTGGGCATCGCTGTAATCTGACCTTCAGTTACGAGCCACAAGTTCGGCTTCATAGTTTAATCTCGCTCGTAAATTCAGTCTGTTTCCTTCGTCTACGTCACGACCTCGTGACAATATCTTGCACTGCCGCATTCGCTCTCATAAAACCAGCAGCTTTCCTACCTGATTTCCTCACACACTATAAGCAGATGGCAGGAACAGTGCTTGATAACGTTCTTTATTTGAAGACTATTGTCGGCTAATGTTGGCTAAGTGATGATTAATGTTGTCAGCTACTGCTTCATAATGATAATTAGGAGCGATCAGTATTACAATACGCTCATAAATTACGCAATTTTATGCAATAATTGTTTGACAATAACGTAATATTCAGTAACTGCACCATTAATTCGTATTTGTCGACTTGACTGTAAGATCCCCCTTTTAATATTCTCAATCTTTAAATAAAACCTGCAGCCGAGAAGCCGCTACAGCTTATCTGCAGCCCAAAGCCAACACAGGGAAGATGCAATGTTTCTGGGGAATCGTGGCACTTTGATTCTGCTACTGCTACCTGTATGCGGTATTCACCTGGAACGTGTCCAAATGGATCAAACAAGTTTCGTTCCTGTGAAAAGTGCATGAAGACTTGCACAAGTAAGTTTTAGTGCTCCATTTTTATAAGCATTTCACCAAGCGCCATTGAATATTTTGACGTTTCACATGAAGTTCAAAAGCACCGTCTTAAGTTAGAATTTATTGACACTCCTATTTTGAGGATTTTCTATTCCACATTTTATAAAGTAATCAAGTTCGCTATAACATCTTCATTAGACGTACAGTCTTACGTTATAAGCACGCAAGGTGTGTAAGAATTAAGTAAAAAAAAAGGTAAATTCCGCAGGTTGCGGGTATCAATTTATTGCGATGTATCACAGCTTATGTCGCACTTTCAGTCAGGTTTGCCGTTGGCGAGACTGGAAAAGGAGCTGTAACTCAAGCTAAAAGTGGTCGAAATACCCATGGTATTTAAAGTTAGTCTAAATAGTACAACAAGAGCAAAAATGTGATAATACGTATATTGGTAATATATTTCAGATGCAAGTATTATGATTTTGAATACATAAGAACGTAGTATAACGAACATAAGTTCTCCTCTAGCTTGATATCCCAGCCGCAGTTAAGCTGCCTGTTCATTAGTAAGTTTTACTTTCAGTGCACCTCCATTCAGTTTTTCTACGATGAATAGAGTTCTTTGAAAATAAATTTTGGATGAACAACTCACCAGGAACATAAACTTTTGAAGAAGCATTTTGTTTTGTTGGGGATATTTATTTGACATGCTGTGAAAGAGATATCGTCGGAGTGTATTTCTGTCTTTAAGGGCTCACTTAAAATATATGACAGATTACTCAGCGTATTTTCGAACCAAGTGCAGCAAAGAGCTTTCATGACGCATCTGCTTTAAAAGCACGATTTTCCTCTTCCTTTTCATCTACATATTCAGAACAACCACTTTCCTTTGTCGTTCTAGATCTGAAAGCCAAGGAGAGCTGCCGCATTCTCATGGAATATTAATCCAGGCCACTTGAATTGAAATAAATGTACGTCCACAGAGAGTCAAACACATCGAACGGCAGTGTGATTGGGAAAAAGTTGTGCCTCCTCAATATACTACAGTGATATTTTTATTTGTGCATACAACGATCAACTTCGTCTTGCATGTCACAAATTGATGATTAGATGCAAGTGCACACCTATAGCCAGTACAATGTGCTTTCCGTGGGGGATAACCGACGTTTTCCGCGTCACTTGCGAATGCTCCAAACCACCCACCCAGCTGTGCGAGTGTACAAGCTTCAGCAAATTGAAATTGGTTTGTAACAAGGACGCGAAGCAGCTTTGTTGCGCACGGGAGCCGTCACGTGTTGAACGGCGCTAACGCGGGTGCAGCGGTGAGTGCTGGGAGGTTAGTTTGGCTGGCGTAGGTCTTGTAGGTGACACGTATGGACACGTTTCAACGCGTACGTTAGGCGCGTGTCAGGTTTATTGCGCGTGAACCAACGAGTCGGCAGTGTAGCGAGCGGCAGTCGCGGCAGGTGTTGCGGGCGAACGCACAAGGCGGCAGCTGCGGGCGCCGTGGTGAGCGCACGGCAGGCGAGGGAAAGACGGAAGTCAACGTGCACTGCAAGGGGAGCATGACGTCAACGCACTGCAGCAGCGTAACCTAATTGGCATCGCTCCAACACATGCAGTGCACAGCGCATTCGTAAGGAGGGATAGCGTTACACAGGTTAGTCAAAGAGCTGCTTCGCATCTAAAAGAAAGGAGTATCGGAAAGAAAGAAAATAGGGAGAAATAAGGAAGCTCCTTAAGCTTCGCTCTTCCCTCAGGATTGGCCCCACTGATGCAACTCAGTCTAAGTTATTTCTAATCTTAGTCCTTTTGTGAGACAATACATTGTGACGCGCTGCAACTATCTAATATAAACATTTGTTAGAAATAGAACAGTTGCTCGTAATTTGAGTATTGCTCATCGACTTGTTATGACATGAAATGAAACCGGCAGTGCGTTTCCAGTATTTCGGGACATCCGTGCGTGGCGCCATCTATCGCCGGCAGCAATTGTGTCCTACCATAACTAAATGGGAAATAGACGAAAAAAAATCATATATTTTAAAATAAGGTAGTTGTCAACGACTCGGGGATCTATACTGCAGGGACATACTGTATCATTTTGGTGAAATTTCAGTATCGCATTAAAAAGCTTGTGGCTTCACAGGACATTTGAACACCTCTTATTGTAAATACGTAGGGCCCCGTTAAAAATATTTACCACACTGGGGGCCCACGCGCTTTGTAGTAGTGTGCTGAAATTTCACGAACATGTTACTGTAGGTGTCTGCTATATATATCTTGGAGTCATTTTTGATAACTAGCATATTTCGAAAGATATGATTTTTTTTTCGCCTATTTTCTATTCGGTAATGGCACGCTGCTCTCACCGCCGAGAGAGGGCGTTTCATATAAACATACCCAAATCCTAGTCATGCGTGGCGTGCAGATAGTTCAGCCAGTGCATTACATCACACCGAAATTTCCCGTGTATATTAGGGGCAGTTCAACAGGCCTTTTCACTAACCACTAAGACAATGCATTATTCTTCTGATAATACCCTTGTTCACCTCATAATATGTAGCAAACCGTGCAGATGCCCGCCAGATAGGAACAATGAAACAACGAAAGACATACCAGAATGACACATAAGAATCTATTCTTGGGAGTCTTGTTTCTGCAACGTTATACCTTTCATCTGAGAAACACATGTGTGGCCATTGTTTTCAAAGCAAAGCAGGTACGCATGCTTGGTAAGCACGAATCCAAAAATAAAGACACTTGTCCTGTTTTAACGTGTTCCTCCTGAAATCAGTAGCGCTGAAGTTATGCGAAAATATGCCTGAGTAAACACTAAAGGGCTGCCCATTTTGAAGTTTTGATATACATATGCTGTTTCCTCAAAAACCTCTGCACAGTGTGGATTACACGCACACCGACGTCGTATCCAGCTCTTCCATCCCCGTAAAGAAAAATATAGCCATGTTTAACGAAGCGGTTGTTCTTCTGTTCTGCGTTGTTTTTGCGCATGGTAAGCTATTGTATTTCAATTGTCAACATGCTAGTTCAAGCCTAGCGAGAATGACTTTTTGATTGATTGATATGTGGGGTTTAACGTCCCAAAACCACTATATGATTATGAGAGACGCCGTAGTGGAGGGCTCCGGAAATTTAGACCACCTGGGGTTCTTTAACGTGCACCCAAATCTGAGCACACGGGCCTACAACATTTCCGCCTCCATCGGCAATGCAGCCGCCGAAGCCGGGATTCGAACCCGCGCCCTTCGGGTCAGCAGCTGAGTACCTTAGCCACTAGACCACCGCGGCGGGGCGAGAATGACTTTTTTAGCTATTGTTTTTACTCGTTTCACTTCTGAGATTACACCTTACTGTGAGCCCTAATTACACTCCCGCTCACTGCGCGCCCAACAATTTCAAGCCTCAGACTCACCATGGGGCGATGCATATTAAAGAGAAATTAACGATAAGGCCTAGCACTTCACCTTTTCGCACTGCCGTAGCTAGGAAATGGCACACAAAGCCCGGGCATCACCCTCCCTCAAAATAATTAGTCGCCTGGGATACAGAGCGAAGAATAAGTAATTAAAGGGGTGCCCCCACAAAATCTTAAAGGTGCCCCCACCCCCCCATTCCTAAAAGCAATTCTGGCTATACTCCCCTGCTTTTCAGTGAAATGTTTTACATGAAGGCGCAGACCTATTGACAAAGCCCGTAACTGCGCACCCAAACCTCAAGCACTACGCGTTTAGTTGTTCTTGTTCTTGCAATGCAGCTACGTCCGCGAATAGGAAAAAGTTTTGTGCAGTTATTTCAGTGCGTAATATCTGGTAAATTGTTTTCTTCATTTCACGTATTAGCTGCTCTTTGGGGTAAATAGGTAGGCTGTGCACAAAACTAATATTTAAGGATCTAGTACTCTCTGTTCTTAAGTGTATAATTATGCACTCGTACGTTGACATGGGTTTTAACACTGTTACAGAAGCGTGTGAGCAACAAACGGGCCAGCAGTAATTTCTGACTGTAAGCTATAAATATTGCACTCAAGTTGTGAATACAGTATTTTCGCGAAAGCTACTACAGTAATGCAATGTCGGCGCTTATCTTACTTTTATTTGACGTGATATAAAAATAGTAGGCAAGACGCACAAAGTTTAGTCTTGGAATTCCATTAAAACCAGCAATCAAATTTTTTACTAAATGCCACTATGGTGGCACAAGTGACATTTGAGCTCACAAATCGCAATTCATTGTACCAAACTTGTGAAACATGTGAATGACAATACCTCTAGACTACAAGAGAAAAGTATGTCCTTATTGATGAGACGTATTTTATCTTAAGCACAGAACTTGTATGAAAAGACAGAACAAGAGGGAACACAAACCAAAGTGCTAAATGTAAAAAAATTCTCCAGTTCAAGCCAGACAAAATTTTATCACTTCATTATAGGTAATCAGGCATTCACATACGTGTGAGTGTCTAGTATTTACGTTTTCTTTGTTAGTAATTATTATGGAGGGACGCTGACACAGTTTTGGCTGACCTCACTAATAGCGCCTGATGCAATAACCAGCTGCACGATTTTGTCTCGGTGCATGCATATAGTAGAACACTCATAAAAAAAGGGGGAACGCCACCAGCTTCATATAAGTTCGCCTCTTGACGTGGACTATGTGTTACAGATATTTTGTAAATGAGCTTTTTGATGGAAGCCTGTGTTGAAAGTATACCTTACCAGTCTTGTATAAAGAAAAAAAAGAGCTTACCAAAGTTTGTGTACTTCACGTTCACCCTATCAATGTGTTTTTTTTTTTCGCATTGCAGCTGAACACGCAATACCTTACAGATGTTCTGTACCACCTGATCCTGGTCACGGCCCACTTCATACACGGAATTGGTATTTCGATATTTTACACCTGTACTGCAAAATGTTCATTTACCTCGGTCATGGCGGGAACAGGAACCGATTCCATTCGGAAAAAAACTGCCTCACAAAGTGTCTGCGTGAGTACAAGTCTTAATTTGGAAGTGCCAGTTAATAATATTTCTCAATGCGACAAATCACAGGACTATCAGTGCTAATTTCTTTACAGGAAAACCGCTAATCTTTCACTCTAGTCTTCAGTGTCGCAAAAGAACAGTTACAGTGTGCTAAACCCGTACACCAAGGTTCATGTAAACTGGAGCCTGCAACGCCTTAAATTCGTCTGCGCAGACTAGCCACATTCGCAGAAAAGAGGGCCCAAGGAGTTGCGCAAATACTGATTGCTTTTAACTATTGAAGCCCTGAGACTGTAACCCCCTTCGCGATGTGAACTAACTCAATCAGCACTTGCTACGTGAAAATAATAGACATGTAGTAGTGATCGTTGCCGGGATATCTCTTTTTTTCCTTCTCGTGTCCATCTATTATTTTACAGCTTTTGAAAAAAAAAAGACGATCACCTATTTAACATGGCTACTTTCTTTTCCCAAACTACACAAATATACTGAATTCTGTGAGGAAAAACATATGGAAGCGTATGGTATGTTCTGTATGCGTCTTCTTGCGGAAAATGTCGTACTTCTTGTAGTTTGTGTGAAGGAATTTCGTTCAGAACTTTTGTTCAAAAAGCGCTAGAAACGCGTCTATAGTATCAATGACAAAAATGAACACCTTCACGCATATACTTGTTTTAAGTGCACTTGATATAATGCCGCATTCTAGCGAGATGAAAGTTATAACAGAACTTGGCTGAATTCATGAAGTTCGCTTTCCATCAAATCCATGGTCTTCTGGCAATGAATATTCATGCTTTTCTCTAAATATAAGTGGTTATCTTCAATATTGAGTTTCATCAGTTTGTTTCGAAGACTTCTTTTATAATTTAATTTTTTTCTGATGAATTCGCAGCCGGAAGAACTACCAAACCAGTATGCAGCAAAAGCCCGTACATTCAAAAGTGCCCTAAGGGTTATCCCCGGTGGTACTTTAACGCCTCACGAGACACTTGCCAACATCTTCCTTTGGGCTATTGCGCAACGAGTGCAAATAAGTTTTACACATGCGTCGATTGCATCCACAGATGCTCCTGTGAGTATTAGACATTTTTTCGACGATTACCTTAGTTCTGTTTCCTTCGTGTTCGTTAAAACACCAAATATAAATGACGACCGCAAGTATCGCTGGATTTCGTTCTCTGAACTTGGCACATAACTTAAACGGTCTGACTTAAAAAGATATATTCTGGAATTTTTTAAAGGGGCCTTCAGCCACCCTGAAATGTAGATTTAGCTGTGGTGTTGCAGTTGTGGAAGTGTCTTCCCGGAGTTGAAAGCGTTTAATGATACCAAAGCGACCCAACTCACCTTCCGCTTTTTATCGCTAAGCTCAGTTCATCGACTCATCTCCCCTTTTGGCCTGGAGCTCTACTCCTGATCACCTTTCAAGGAAAAAAAAAAGCTACTTGGTAAGATACAAAGAGATGCTTTTTGTGGATGACGTGACCACACGCTAATTCTGACGTCATGACAAATGCTGGGAATCAAGCAAAGAAGCTGACAGGAGAATAAATATTTGCTGAGAATTTCTAATGCCCATGGCTTATTTTATTTTTGCTACCGTTTTTGGAATTGTTCGACGTGACAAACACCGGAACGTGGTGCTTTTTTTTTAACGCATCGTGAACGTGAAGCTCACCTTCCTGATTGATATGTGTGGTTTAACGTCCCAAAACCACGAGAGACGCCGTAGTGGAGGGCGCCGGAAATTCAGGCCACTTGGGGTTCTTTAAAGTGCGCCTGAATCTGAGCATACTGGCCTACAGCATTTCCGCCTCCATCGGAAATGCAGCCACCACAGCCGGGATTTGATCTAGCGACCTGCGGGTCAGCAGCCGAGTACCTTAGCCACTAGACCACCACGGCAGGACTAGCTCACCCTTCTCGGGCTACACTTTCATTTATTGGCTTCCTCTCTTTTTGTTTTTCTTGCGTCTCCCATATTCATATGGTGGTTCTGGGACGTTAAATCCTACATATCAATCGATCAATCTTTCTGATTCTCGACACACGCACTGAAGCTGACCACAATGTAGTCTCCGGCTCATGAGATATACCTTTCTCATCTTATTAAGAAGTTCACCATGTAGAGCACCTTGTTTTAAATTGCGGTGATGAATATATGTATCTCATTCGTACAGACAGTTAACGTTTAGAACCAAAAGATTCCTTTGCAACTTAGCCATAGCAATAAATGTTCAGGCATACCAGAACTACGACATGAAGATGAGGCATGTCGTAGTGGAGGGGCTTTTGACGATTCCTATCACCCAGGATTGTTTAACGTTCACTGGGGATCATCTAGTACAAGGGTCTCTCGCGTTTTACCTCCTTCGAAATACCGCCGCCGCTTCCGGGACCACATGTTCAACTTTTGGAGATCAGTAACCACTTTACTACCACGGAGGACGATTTTCGTCACATACACTAATACGAAATTAGATCGCAAAGATGACGAGTCAATTAAAATCAGGGTCGTTAACCTCCCTATATCAGCTGTGCCAGCAGGAGATTTCGCTCACGTAACGCACTTTCTTCGGATGTCGTTTGTGGCAGTAGTGCATGTGGTGCAGAAACGTTAGCACATATGGTGTCCAGGTAAGTGTTACAAAAACCTGTACAGTACTACTTTTGCCATTATCTAATACCGTAATGGTATTTCTTTCTGCAGATGACGATCCACAAGTCAAATGCCGTGAAATAATCAATGGGGTCCCTGGACCTGGAAATCCGGAATAAGCACCCAGTCCTAAGTATACACTTATGAAACGTGTCCTCTATTTTAGCCCATCAGAATCAACCATTCACTGCAAGGCAGTAGTGGCTAAAGCACCGTCACGGATCGCACCTTGTGAAAAGAGTTAAGAAAATTCACGGGCAACCGGGGGGTGAATCAATGCGAAAGAAATATGCGCTGCGATATCAAACTTGAAAGCGCGCCATGTCAAATGTATCTGGCACAATGTATACCAAATAATGTAGCACTAATTCCATATTTCAAATTAGTTAGCCGTAGTAATGCAAAATAGTTGTTTCTACCACATCAAACGATGTGGACGGGAAAACATCATTCGTGAGGTGTTTCGCATTTCCTATTTGAGCCTATAGATCGATAGCTTTTTTAAGTATGTGAACGTGACTACAATATTTATTTCATAATAGACATATTTCAAATGTGTGTTAGACCGAGTTATGGCCCATGTTTGGTTCGTTCAGTTCATTATAGAAGTAATATAATCTTTTTTCACGAGTACCAAAGCCATAGCTCTTTAGGTCGTGTCATTATGCAATGACAACGCATAGGTACCCTGAAGCTAAAAATGTTCACTTCTACAAGAGGTGAAAACAGTAAATACGTTCTTTGAGCCAGATCGGTAAAGAACAGGGCCAAACAATCTCCGCCTTACACAAGCATAGATAGATAACATCATGTTGATTGACATGACTATTAGGCTCCTTGTAGTTCGTGGCAGCATACCAACTTTTCTTGTCTTCCTTTAAAAGCATATTAAAGTCAACACTTAATTTCTCGTTTCTGTGGATGCCCTATATGCTACGATTCCTGAAGTCTTTGCTTGTCTTTTTTTTCTTAAGAATAAAGGTGGAACTGTTTATGGTCCCACCCGGTATCCGTTCTTTACGAAAGGAATTTAAGTACCTTTACCACATATTCATGTGCTGCCAGAACAATTTTGGCGATCCTTTCATTCCCTGTTAAGAAAATGTATTCTTCCGCTGGAAATGCTAGTGCTTGCCTCAGAACACCAGCGTCTGACTTTCATACTGCAAAAATGCAAAGATGTGGAAGCAAGTATCCCAGAAGTTATAGCGAGAATTTCCCTAGCAATCTTCATGCGTGTCTTCATTCGTTATCAGAAAAACAGATGTGCTCCAATGTTACTCAGCATAACATAAAACAAGTCTAGTAATCGTCGCTAACAAATTAGTGATCTCAAGTGGCACACATAAAAGCTCCTGTAGACCGTGTATGTGATTTTCGTGAACTCTTCCACAATGCCCTCATGAACGATTGTCTCAAAAATAAACGCGACAAACATGTGAATTCAAAGTTCTCTTGAAGCAGAGCTGGTCTACTAAAGGCTCCGCAGAGTGCTGCCTCTACGCACGCCCACATCATATGCAGCCCTCGTGTCCCCCTATTGAACAATACAGCCATGCTTATCATAGCACCTGTACTTCTTTCCTGCGCAGCTTTTGTACATGGTACGTGGTTCTTTTTTCAATATATAATGTGCTGTTTAAGAGTCACAGCTGTATATTCGCGTCGTACGGACAAAGCTGTTATAGGCTCACAATCACAGCCAATTTTCGCGGTGTTGTTGTCCGCTGTCGTACCCCCCGTAATTGTACGTCACTGCTATGCACTGTATGAGAAAACTGTACACGACTGATCGGATTCAATTTGAGTTGAGGCCCTCTGTGTGGTGGTCTGTAATGTCTGTACCACACTGGGATTTTTTTACAGCAATACATATTGAAATTACAAGTTTAAGTGCTAAGCTATAATAAATCAAGAATCAACACTAAAGAGATAGGAAAACGCCGCAGGCTGATGCCATGTGTTCACACGTTCAGTACTGTGCTTACGCTATTTTACCAATTGAAGTATGACTGCAACACTTCGTTTGTCAAATACTGGATGCGTTTATTTCCGCGCCTATAAAGTCTATCTAATCTCTCCTTCGTACATTTGTTATGAGAACTTAACAACAAGTAATGCCAAGGAAAGTGTAGGAGGTGTTATTAGAATTAACTGTAGTGTAAATGTGAAGAAAACAGGAAGATAACTTGCCACTATCATGTACCGAACCTGTGACCTATGAATAGCGCATTAAATGCTCTACCACTTCGTAGGTTCAGTAACAGCTCTTATAATGAGTAGGTAGCCAACTCCAAGTACAAGTAACGTTTTAAAGCCGGAATTGTCTCTCCTTCATTATTAAGTTTACCGTACAGTGTGTGTTGGCTGTAACGCAGTGTTACTTATGTGCTGGTTGATGTCCTTTTTGCGCGTATTCCCACTACGCTGTTTCGAGGTTTATGTTAACAACTTCTGCTACTACAGAGGTTAAATTAAGATCATGGGCGTTAGTTGTTGCAGTGGAGATGTGCCACTTTGTGTCAACGTGGGTGCGTGCAGGTCAAGCAGTGCGGTAACTGCCAAAACCCAATACAGAGTGTACGAGCTCTCATATATTGCTACACAATAATTACTACTCTTGTGAAGAAACTCAATACTATTTCGTGTTACACTGTTTCCAGTGATGAATGGACAGCCACGTGTTGTTGTTGTTTTTAGATTACTTTTCTTTCTTGTCCTCCGTTTCTGTTGCGCTGTATTCATGCCCTCGGAGTTAGTAAGCTGAACCTTACACTGATGCGATAAGCCCCCCGCCGTGGTGGTATAGTGGCTAAGGTACTCGGCTGCTGGCCCGCAGGTCGCAGGATCGAATGCCGGCTGCGGCGGCTGCATTTCCGATGGAGGCGGAAATGTTGTAGGCCCGTGCGCTCAGAATTGAGTGCGCGTTAAAGAACCCCAGGTGGTCGAAATTTCCGGAGTCCTCCACTACGGCGTATTTCATAATCATATGGTGGTTTTGGGACGTTAAACCCCACATATCAATCAATTAAAGCGATCAGCCAGAAATAACACGAATCCTATGTTAGCAGCTAGCACGCGGGGCATATTTATTACCTGGAAAAGCTTTTTCCTCGCAATATACCAAAGCGAAGCTGCCTCGCCAGTATAATATTCCTTGATGACAATTTCGCCGTATGTCATCGAAGACGAGAAAGCTGCTCGCCAGTGCTAGGACAGACGGAAAGCAAACCTGACTTATACCCCTGTCACACGGCCACCACCAAACTACGTTGAACACCGTAAACGTAAATCTCCCCTAGGGGTTCAACGGAGAAGGAGTTGTGGCAGTGTCACACAGCAATGACAAGGTTGTAACAGTTGCCTCGAGGGGGCTCAGCTGGCGCTGTTTTATTTTCGGAAAAGTATTCTAATTTCATCCCTATTCATTTTTTTTTCATCCCCGTTATGCGGTTTTTACAAAAAAGCACTATTAAGTCGGTATGCGACTCACAAACCATTAAAAATAATTTCAAATAACAACGCATTTGCTAAATGTAGCGATGCTGCTAGTGACGCTGGCCACATTGTGCTTTTAGTTGTTTTGTCCTGTGTACAGGCCTAGTACGAAAGTTCTTATGCTTACTTGCCTCGTGAGCGCACATTTTGTGTTCTTCAGCCATGAGTGACACAGCGGATGACGTGAGGATGTGGTACGATATTGCGCTGGTAATGACGTTGATCGGCTGGCGCCGGCCGGCCCGACTCGCGAGTCACGGTGTGTAGGGCATCGGTGTTGAGAGTAAGTGAACTCTGGCGGGAGTAAATATATGTGAACAAACACGCGTTGTGAATGAGTACTACAACGAAAGAACGTTTATTATTGACAAAATGTATTATTTCTTCACTGCAGTGACTTAGTGCTAGAAATTTTTCTATGACCTGTAGACTCCTGGAGACGAGAGTACCTCGTTTCGCTTTGAAATGGGGATTGTTGAGCGTTCTTTGCGAAATGCTCCGTTTACCTTCGTTCGCGTAAGGGTGGCCGTGTGACACGGACTGCATCTTCGTTCTGGTAAGGACGAGGGACGAAGGAGCTAAACGGTCTTCACGGGTACCCGTGTGACATGGGTATTAGAGGCTTAAACTGTTGTAGCAGTTAAAGTCGCAGGCACCAGGACGGTAATCTCAGTGGGTGAGCCTCTACTTGATCCCGTCGTGTTTCCGTTTGACAACACAGGTCCCGCTGAAGTTTTCAAATTTATAATAAACTTTGGTTCTCACTTGCGCATGCCCGCTGTCATGCGGGAACTTGTGTGTAGTTCAAATACGTTGCGGTACTTTTTTTAATGTGGTTCTATATGTATTATTGTGCACGTTAGGTGTTCTCGTTTGATGCAAAAGTGTTGTTTCAACACGAGGTGAATATTCTGCAAGAAATGAAAAAAAGGACGATTTGTTTGATGCGCCTTCTCTCATTTGAAGCCATAATAAGAGACAACGGAAGGCTGGGTTTTATTCATTTCCTGACTGCTATGAGCAGATTCTCGTTGAGGCAAGCTGGCGACCTCTTGCTTTATTAAGGACATCAGCCTAATGGCGAAAATGAAGAAAATATGGCTCCAGTCTACTTTGGGAAGGCGTTTGGGCCATGATGCTGTAACTAACTCCCCGAACAATTAGCTATTCCGACGTCGCTTGGATGGTTTTTCGCATTAGAATAGCGCAAAAGCGATGGACAATAAGTGCGCAAGATTTTGCAGACCAGCCATGCAAGTTTGATGGTGCGCAATCATCTGACTCGACGCTTTTATAGACAATCAATCAATCAATCAGTTTATTATCATGTCATAAAAGGATGTTACAGGGAGAAAAATATACAGACGAGACCGGATGCATTGCAGTGGGCAATCCAAGTCACCGATGTTGATCGGCATCTCTTGCATCCGCCTACTCGTCTAACTATTCTTTGACCGGGAGGAGTTGAAAATCTGCCGATTGAGGCGAATATTGTTCAGCGCGTAGAGCAAACTCTAGAGAAGAACGTTGAATAAATTTAGAATTATTAATATTATATTACCCTCGTCGCTGCAGCATAGAGTAGCGGCGTCAATAACATGTAAAATTGAGAATCTGCCCGTGTTTTTATTACTTACAGAATTTTTTTTCTTTGCACATGGCGACGATGGTGTTGCGCGATAAGTGTACAGCTTCACTGCAAAACCTATTGTAGAGCCGGCAATTGTTGTTCCTACGTGACGCGTACTCCACGCATGCTGAAACAGAAAAGATACAGACTTCAGCAGAAGTAAAAGGTAACCTACGCAACTGATGCCCAGAGCGTCTCGAGTGCCCTCATCCGATTTCTACGGCCACCGGCTGCGCACGTATTGTCTTCAGTTCATAGCACTTGCGCTTTGTGCTACCTGAAAACTTTGTGCTACCTGAAAATGTAATGGCAATACTCAGATACGAAATATATGAAAACAGTTCGATGTAAAGCTTTCCACAGTAATCCTCCTCGAAAGCAAGTGTATGACCGCTACTCTATTTGCGTAGTAAATAATATATGACTATGTACTGCCGCAGCGCGCCTCTTGTTCTTTCCTGTGTTATTTTTGTGCATGGTAAGTGCTTCAACTTTACACTGCACGTGGTAATACAGTGGACTTTACTGACAAGAGGCCTAAGAGAAAGTGAGGCTACCTGAAGGTAGCACAACTATTTGATTTGTAGCTACGTTCATTTTATTTTCAACTCCGAAGTGTATTCGAAAAACGTGTGTATATTGGAGGCGCTTGTCATTCAGGGACACGCGGTGATTTTTCAACATGAAAGTTTTAGGATGAAGTATTTCCGTGATTTGATTGATTGATTGATATGTGGGGTTTAACGTCCCAAAACCACTATATGAATATGAGAGACGCCGTAGTGGAGGGCTCCGGAAATTTAGACCACCTGGGGTTCTTTAACGTGCACCCAGTGTTTCCGTGACGAATCCTCTACATATTGTATGCGCAACCTGCTATTTTAGGAACTTCATATAGACGGACGCTGTTCCTTCTTTTTTTTAAACGTCATATCCCAGTGTCATTGTGTTACGCAAGTTGCATATTGCATGGGCTGCGTATATGTTTTGTTTCAGTGATACTTTGAGAAGCCTGTTATGTGTGAGTCGATTCAAACCTGTTTATTTCATCTTCGACCCCTCCTGGGTTGTCGATGGCTTAGCAGTGCGCCAACCTCTTCATTCATATCAATATTAGTATGAAGAGACCCTCGAAATCCCTTTCCTTAACAGGCCCTTGGAGCAGCACAAATGTCAGCTTTATACCTGAAACGGCAGTGATTACGTCGAAGGGCGCAAGAAAGCTGCTATAAAATTGACGACATCTACTGACTACACGCTAAACGATTCGTGGGTAATAAGCTACTTCAGTGTTCCTTCCACTTCTTCAAATATTAAGTGTTTCAGGACTATTTGTGCCACACAACTCTAATCGACATCTGGATTGGTCGCGTTGTCCTTCGTGAAAACCAGGTCCTCACCACATTTCTATCACGAGTGGAATACCGCGCTGATAGCGCCCACCTAGTTCATGACCGGGAAGTGCCGAAAGCATGTTGATAATTAAAGAAAAAGCATTCAATTGTAAAAGAACATAGCGAGCATTTTGCCTTCTCCGTTGATTGGCCGCAATTCTTCAGGGGTTGAGCGTGTGAAGAACGCGGAGTTACACTCAAGCGAGGCAAGTGCGTTGCTCATTCGTTGCAGAACTATTTTCGGTAAGTATGAAAGCTATGAGCGACGCCATCACTTCGGGTAAGGTCGCCACCCGGCAGTGTTTTAATGCGTTGACAAAATTGCAATTCTTCCATTCGGAACGCACTGAATAAGACGGATGCGTAGAAACGACGCGTTAGAGAAACTAATCGCAAATTTTATGGTTATAACGCATTACACTTTCCCAGCAGTAATGTGAAAAATCACTATTAGAAATAAAAGGCGTGTTTTTAAAGCTTAAACAAATGTATATACATATATATACTGTATATACTGTATATGCTAACCCCAATGCGTGTATAATTTTTGCGACAAATAAAGATTCGATTTGATTTGATTTCATTTGATTTAAAATGTGACCGTGGCGCAGTAGGTAGCATGCCCGGCAGCTGTTGCGTGGACCGAGAGGTCATGGGTTGGACTCCCGTTGACAGGACTTTTTTTTCTGATCATGCTATTTTTATACGTCATTTCTGTGACAGAAGCACGCCAATCAAATTATGGTTGACCCCGGCATAAAACACCTTCGTGTTTAAGGTTGTCTTCCGTGTTAGAGTCGTCTTAGCCGAATGTGCAAAAGACGTAGAGAGTGTTTAAAATTAAAATGCAACACTCTACGTGACGCTTTGATGCTCTAGCTTTTCTTTAGCTGCAGTCATTTATAATATTAATATAATATTTGGCGTTTTATGCACCGAAACCACCATAATATTTTGAGGGACACCACAAAAGAGGGCTCCGGGAATTTCAATCATATGGTGTTCTTCAACCTGCACTAACATCGCAGAACTCATGGACCTCTACCAGTTCGCTTCCATCAAAATCGGTTCAGCAGCGGAGTGTCATAACCACTGAATCACTGCGGTGGACACTATAGCATGGAAGAGTGATCACTCCTTTCACGCAAGAATTATTTATTCCAAGTGATGTTCACAAAGGGGCAGTAACGCACAGAACGCAGCGTTTGTGCGTCATTGTATCTCTTTTTTTTCGGGAGGTAGCCTTTTATTATTTACGAACATTCCCTTCTTCGAGACGGTTCCAGTCGCAAAACGGCTTTATGCTACACTAAATTAATATTTTTTTCACACAAAGAGATGTTGATATACTTCGCATTTTGATCGGTACAGTAGGAGAGCAAGCATGTCATGAACTCCACAAAAAAAAAATCTGAATATTTCAGCACTGAATTTTTTTTCATTACATTTTAACGCATACGTTCTGACCCAGCGTAAGACGCCTTTCATGAAGTGTGGTAATCTGGATGCTGTTTTCAAGGCCACAGCGTACAGATGCGAATCCATGAATGATCACACAAGTCATGTGGGTCGTGGTGACAAGTTCTCTGCGCTTCTCTATAGCGAAATAGCAATACCACTGACTGAATACAACCGAAGAAAGGCGCAGTATTGTAGCCGAACTTACGGAATGCTTTCGTAATATTTGATTTTCCGCCTTGTGCATAAGCATATGAGTAATACGATGTTCTGTGGTTTCAATTGCAGGCACTTCAAACACTCTTAATAGCCAATATGATTGATTTTTAAACTTTCAAGACTTACTGCACGCATGCTTGTGATTGTGCGAATGTGTCTTCCATATACCTTACAGCCCAAACGAAACAACTCTACATTTGTCGTCAGCCACCCGATCCCGGAAACGGCACTGAGCATTTACCACGCTGGTTTTATCATTATTCTGAAAAAGTATGCAAAATCTTCATTTATACGGGCCACGGCGGCAACGATAATCGATTCACCACAGAAAGACACTGTGTTTATGGATGCGTACCACGTACGTATGCACACAGATAGATGCTCCTCTTTCTAGATATGTTGTTCTTTATTCTGAAATTAGCAGCTTCGTCCAAACGAATACGCCATGTAAACGTGAGAAAATTGTTGTTATGTATGGTTTTTGAGAGTATGTTGCTGTTTACATGCAAGGCATTCCATGTGCCCTGTGTTTTAGGTGTCTACGCTGGCAAGCAAGCCTCAAATTTACAACATATTTTCGGTCACTTCACTTATCTATGCGACTACCACAAACAGTCCTGTTGGCATCACAGAACACGGTGCCCAGTAATTATAATCCCAAAACCACGATATGAATATGAGAGAAGACGTACTGAATGGAAAGTTGGACCAACTGGTGTTCGTTAACGTGGAGTGATATCGCACAGTACACAGGTCTCTTCCGTTTAGCCTCTATTCAAATGCGCCGCCACGGCTGGGATCGAACTCACGACCTTCGGGTGCGCGACAGAGCCGTAAATCAGCGGCTAGGGTCATCAACCGTAGCCACTCATAGACCGAGATGGACGAATATGTTACCAAATGTGTCTGTATTACGTTGCCGAAAATATACGACATTTTAGGAGAAATCTTCCGCCGTATAAATCGCCGATAGAACACTGAACTGAAAGGTCGCTTAACTTCGCAGTAAAATGTGCTGTTACCGTCCTTACAAAATGACGTAACATAATATTTGAGGACCGGAGAGTTCACTTATCAACCATATTGGCGTCGCAAAAAAATCCCGAGCAGTTTTTTTTTTTGTTTTTTTTTAAGGGGGCTAACATCTGGCATTCACAATAACCTTGCTATGGCACCCAGGCCAAGGTGAATAAAACTGTGCTATGAAGTCAGCATTTAGTTCAAGTATTTCATTTTATTTTATTGCTTTCAGTACTTTAGTTATGTTCTCAAATTAATTTTGCATCGTTCACAGCTGGACCTACGCACAAACTTGTTTGCAGCCGTAATCCATACGTACAACACTGTTTGCATGGCCCGCACTGGTTCTTCAATTACTCATTGTGTACCTGCCAGAAACTTCCGTACCACTACTGCGCCACCAGCAGAAACAAGTTTCCGACATGCGTGACTTGCATGCATAGATGTACAAGTAAGGCTCTTTTCATTATTCCATAGCAATTGTTTCGTGTTCACAAACCAGCCTCGCCGTGGTGGTATAGTGGCTAGGGTACTCGGCTGCTGACCCGCAGGTTGCGGAATCGAATCCCGGCTGCGGCGGCTGCATTTTCGGTGGAGGCGTTGATACTATAAGCCCGAGTGCTCAGACTTGGATGCACCTTCAAGAATCCCAGGTGGTCGAAACTTCCGGAGCCCTCCACTAGGGCATCTCTCATAATCATAAGGTGGTTTTGGGACGTTCAACCCCACATATCAGTCAATTTTCACAAATCTGTCGCGAAAGATGAACTCACAGGCGTAATATCAGGGGTTCTGCGGGAGAAAACCATCATATGGCTACGAGAGACACCGCAGTGGAAGACACCGGAAGTTTTGTAAATCCGGCGTTCTCTGGCGCGTGCTGACATAGTGCCTTACATGACCTTCTACTTTTTCGCCTCCACCGAGTTATGATTGCCACGGCCACGATTGAACTCATGACCTTCAGATCCACAGTTGATCACAATAACCTCTGATTCACTGCGGTGGACTAGCTGACAGTTGCAGACGTCTACAGATGAAATTCATTGTGTTGAATTTAAACATCCTTGCGGGTTGGTACGAATGTTTTTTATATTGTACTTGCGAGCTGAAGTAAGGACAACATTGCTTTTCAAGGGCCTGCGAGAAAACATTAAACAAAGAGCTGGACCAGCTGGCACCTGTTCATTCTAAGAAACATGGCGTGCAAACAGTAACGCCATATGAAAGTCAAGGATAGCGCTTTCGGCGCCTTGAATTTTCATTCACTCCAGTGCTTTCGATGAAATCTGGAACTTCCCTTGTAGCCGTTTTTGGCACTGTTTGGTCACACATTGCTAAAAAAATTGAAACTTTCACCAAGTGGTGTTCATCCAATGCCGGCCAGCATTCAAGTGGATGC